TGCATATATAATACACAGAGTTGCTCAAAGTTACTAGCTACTCGTAGTAACAGACCTACTCGTGAAACAGACCTAATAAGATGATGTAAAATCTTTCAGTTCATATATTATACATTTTTTTAATTAAATGTGTTTTTAAATTTAGATATATAACAAATACAATAATTATTTAAAAAAAAAGTTATTAATGGTCAAAATACATAGTTACTTTTACACAGCGATCACTGTATGTAATTCATTTATAGCTCTTTGAGCATTTCAAGTAAATTTTCTACTGTTTGCAACATTTGCCGCATCAGCAACATTAACAGCTGCTACAGAAGCTGCGCTGATTGACGATTGCGTAATTTTGAAAATTTTGCTGTTTTTATTGATGATCTTTTATCTCTTCAACTTTTGCTTTCGATTGAATTTTTGTAGTTACTTTTTGTTTTAAATTCCATTTATTATGTTTGTTGTGTGTTGAATGCACACATAAAAAGATAAAATCTTAAAATGTATTTTGATGAAAACCCCTTAAAATGTTGCTTCTGTGTATCTTTGCTATCTTCTGCGTATTAATTTTTTTTATTGGTTCATCTCATTTCATATGTCTATAATCATAAATTTTTCAGTCGTAAGGTCAAATATCAAAATGTTAGCAAATATACAATGTTGAATTTCATAAATTTTTAATTTAACCAAAGTGGCATTTTTATAGCTTTTTACGTGATTATCTATGTCTATAAAGTTTATACTTACTCGTATAGTTTCGATAGAAGTAGTACGTATTTGCTACTTCAAAACGCAAGACACAACAGTTATAATTATGATATTGGCAGCAATATAATAATAAGCAACATAACAGTAACAATGCTACCAAGAAGTAACAGCAACAGCAACCAAAGGCAATTATTATTTCTTCTGAAATTGTTGCCGCCGCCGCTAACCAATGTGTAAATGTTGCAACTGGCAAGCAAAAGTGTTGCATTAGCAATTCTTATTTTTTGGGACACACTTGGTCAAAAGTTTAAACAACTTTTTTAACTCTTTAACCTTTCAACGCCTTGTCTGATTACATACTGATATGCACAAGTAAACATCAATATGTATATTCTATCAATTGCATCTAAGATATTTCCTGAGGCTGTTGTATATGCAGTTCTGATGATGCGCATTCTTATGTGGATATCGTTTTTGAATATAAATTCACTGCAACAGCAAATGCCAAATATCTCGTTTTACTGACCTTAATTGTGATATTTTAATTTAAAATTTGAAGACGGTCAGTTTTAGATGAGAGTTTGCTATGAAATGATTTACAGTGTACATTATGATTTATAACTTCTTTCAAATATATGCTAACTAAATTGTTAAAACACATAAGTATATACTAAAAATTATGTAAATACTTTATAATCCTTAACTTTGTTATTATTGCTTTACTAGTTTCCACTACTACATATCTATTTTAGAGTTATATTAGAATATAAATGTATGTTAACAGGATAATTATATGATTCCGCTATTAAATTTAGTGTTTTTAAGAAAATACTATAATTTAGCTTTTTGTGTAAACATCAAATAATAAAAGATTTTCTCTTTATTCAATTTAAATTTAATTTTTTAATAAATTTGAGTCTTGTGTAAGATTGCAAAACATTGCAAATTGCTTTATTAACTCCATAGTAACATAAAAATAAAATTGGTGTGAGTGTTTACAAAAATATTAAAAATGAATTTTTTATTTTTTATAAAGGAAAAACGTATCTGGTAAGATTTAACTTAATAACTTCCAACGTAAGTTTTGTTGTGATCAGTTTAAGTCACAACAAAACTGCTTTCATGTGGCACACCTGGTTAATAAACTAAGTGTCCCATCCCCATAAAGTTAAGTTTGAGTTGTGCTCTATGTCACGTAAAACCAATCGTCAGTGAAGGAGGTGATGAATCTTCATCACCAGTGAATGACTTAAAATTTTGAAGATTTTGGTAAATGAAATACGGACCATAATATTTTCTTAGAATGTACGGACCCTCGATACAGCATGTACATGTATCCAACTGATGGCAGTTGAGGGCTGTGAGGCTGACATCTAACAAATGTGATAAACAATACATCTTTACCTATTTAACTAATTTTATCGTCAAAGAAACTATAACTTATAAAGCATGATTAGAATTTTGTCTAAAATATCTTTTGTATAAGGCAATAAAAAGTTCAATTATGAATATGAAAATGGAGTAATCAAGGTACCTTTTTATATTTACAAAGATATATATTTATATTTGCACTTACTAAGAACACCAAACTAGTTGACAGGTCGTGCTAAAATTGCATAACAATTAGTTTTGCTATCAACTTAAAGCAATATTTCGATTATTTTAGCATAGTAATTAGTTGCAACAATGCCAACTTGCAATAAAAATTTATTTTTTACTTGTGGGTTTTCCCCAACAAATTAAAGTTCTTATAAAATTTTATTATAATTGTAAAATAGTTTTATGCGAATCGCTGAAGTTTTTACTCTCGTATGTTCTATACTTGAACATTGAAAATTCGGACTCACATGGGCCTAAGCCTTAGCTCTGTCAATTCCTCAAAGTAGAAATCTTCCAAAGAGTTAATTTTTAATTTGAAGTTAATTTTTTGTTAGACAAAAGTTGTATAATTAAAAAGTTGTTATTATTATTACTTATAAAAATAAAGCAAAGAGAGAGAAATGCCTTCTTTGGAGAAAGTTGGACTGAATGTATACTTTAATGAAAAGTTGATATGAACTTAGAAAAATAACCAAATTTTTTAACAATGTCTCTATAAATATAATGTTTGGTTCACTTTGCAGACGTGAAGATTTTTTCTCATCAAATGCCTGGAACTTTTTTGGGTTCGAAAAAAACTGTACTCATTAAAATACTTTGAACAATATATTCCTTAGGCTCCAAAATATTATACTCGTTCAACTCACTTGAATACGTATTAACATTTTTCTGTGGTTTCATCTATAATTAAATTATATTATGTAAACGTAATAAATATCTGATAACCTTCAGCTAAAAAGTGTTTTTAAGTATAAATGGCTTATTTATAGCGCCCTTTACATAAATGAAAATAGCAACCGGCCAATTAGTCAATTAGCAGAATAAGCTACCAGTTTATAATTAACCGACAGTCGGTCACGCCTTTGAGATAATTTAGCGCATGATTAGAAAATCGTTATTACACAACACTTATCTTTTAATCTCTAAAAGCATTAATTTAAAATCAGCAACGATTAATGAATTGAGCTAAAATAAGTATCTCAACTATTTGAAGTGATTTAACTTATGACGCACAGTTAAAAACTTCGACTAGTTCCGAAAAGCATAACGAGTATATAATAGCACCGAGAAAATTACGTGTTAAAAGCATTTTGAACACCAATTCTTATTACGAGTGTTTCATTAAAACTGCTTGAGTTGATGAAAGAATCAAACTATAAACTTAAGTGCGACAAAAGATAAAAGACGCAAGAATGTAGAATTTGCCTTGAAATTATAATTTCCACCTCAATTTGAATATTTATTGTATCTGAACTTTTTTCGCACGAAATCGCTTTGTTTTTCTCTGAAGACAAAATAATTTAAATTAAATTTATAATTTTCAAATTACAAGTTTTGCTGCAAAAGTAGAGTAAGTATTTAATACAAAATTTGCATAAATAATTTTAATTGTAACAATTTTCACATTGAAAAATTGGTCAAGGTATGAATGAGTTCAAAATGAATTTATTTCTTGGCTTCTTAATATTTTCAGGCGGTGCTTTGAAGCTCTTAAATGAGTGGTTCTCTTAGTGGGGGCTTGGGCAGTGTAGTATGACTATTGTACCGCTGGGAGTAATGCTACTCTTACAATTTAAGTAGTGCAGAATAACAAAAGAGCCATAAATCATAGCAACTAAAAAAGTTGCTGAGTAATATACAATATTAAGAAAATAAAATAAATATCAAATTGTTTATAAATTCTTTGTAAATTCTTGATAAATGTTTACTTCCCACCAGTTGCACTAGTTTTTTATTTTAACTGGATCAAATCCAAATTCCAAGCTGACCACAGAAGAATTACACAGAGTAACCACAAAATTGCATTGCTGCAGATATTTGTAAACAATTAAATATTTGTTTAAATAAAAAAAAGAATAAAAAACTATTTTATACACAAAAAAATACTAACAAGACTAAAGTCACTATTAGCAGTGCAGTTAAACCGATTTTATTAAGCAAAAAAAATCTTACAACAACACACCAAACGGCATTAAGAGATTATAAGTGAGTTTTTTTTTGTGGATTTTAGTCTATTTACCGCTTAAGCTTGACCGCGTATTACAGTGGAAAAATCTAAGATTTTGCCTTACCGACTGAAATCTTGTTCTTCGGTTACACCTGATTTGGATTTTGACATCATCGTTAATGCATTAACATTGCACTTCGGAATTCTTGGCCTTTGAAGGTCACCTCAATCAAACAAACAAGATTTCATTAAGATTTTTGGCATGTCTTTTTCATAATCCAAGCTTTATAAGACACACTGACCTTGTATCTTGAGAACCATGCAAGTAGTAATGAATACCTACTATATATAAAAATGATTAAAAAGTGGTTGGATATATAAAAATCTTTTTAATTTTTTTCAAACAGAATAATATTTTTTTGCATTTAAGTAAAATAGAAATATTAAGAAATAAATTGATTTAAAAAATTAAAAAATAATTTCATGAAATGTAATATTAGTTTGTACGAAGTTTTTATATACCTATATATATATGTTATATATTATATATTATATACTGTTTTTGAATTATGTTTACCTTTAATTGACAATTTTTATATATCATCTTTAAGTAATTGAAAACTGCTTACAACAAAAACAAATAAAATTTGTTTTTAAAAACTAATAATTAATAACCTATTAACTTTTTTTTGAGACAAACTTGTCCAACTTAAGTATTGTGTGTTAATTAATATAAAAAAGTTAAACTCACCATGACTAAATCACCAGTTTCGCCATGACGCCGCATTAATATTGCAGCCATATTTTCTTCATCCTGAAAAACTTCTCCGATTTGTTCTGAAGATTGTGCACTCTGCAAAGAATAATAGAAGAGTTTAAAATTACTTAAAATCAAGTTTAAATATATATTAAAAAAGAAATACAAAATTTTCTGTAAAATTCAAATGATAGTTTATATTTATATACAAAGAGTTGATTGGTTTAATTGGATTTGCTCGGGAGTTTTATCCCAAATTTTTTAAATTCCTTGATAAAATTGTTTTAATTTAATTTACATTTTAGTAAAATTTGTACCTTGAATGAAATTTATTGTTGTAGGTATAAAAACTGCATTGCAAAAGTGTATGTCATATAAAAATGATAGATTACTCGAGCATACAGCCAATGGAATAGCTTCAAGAAACGAAGAGTAAAGTATTCTCAAATGACCGTGGTCCACGATCAATTTTTAACACAAATACCTTTCTGTAATGAACAAAAATGCATTTCTACATACTATACTTGATTGCACCACGCAGCGATTAATTGTTGTAAACGCAAGTAATTTGAGGAGATGGGTTTCTTCAGTGGGTTTCTGCAGTTTTTTTAAGGTGCCTGTTGCTATATGTTTAAGGCGATATGCAAAAATATTATTATTATTAGGCTAGTTGCTTGTGAATAAATTTGATTCGCTTGTAGAAAGCTAATATTGTTGTTGAACTTATACAACATTTAGTTGAATTAGGATCTATACTCGGTAGAAACTTATTATTTCCATGATATCTTAAGTTCCAAACAAACGTTCAATTGCTGATGATTTACAAAAAATAAAATAGCCTCTTTGCTGCTTCAGAACATTTATTGAAAACCACTGCCAATAAAACGAACAATGTACGGCATTTGAGTGTCAGTTTTGACAGTTGCTTTTGCTTTGGGATTCAATTAAATTTTTTGCACCAAACATGTCAGCCAACTCCATATGTCTCACTGTAGTGTTTTGTGCATATCAATTAATTGGCAGAACGAATGTTTCACTCTAAGTGTGGTTTATATGCAGCAGTTTAGGCCTTATATGAAATCATAATGTCCACGGCAGCGGGGTAGCCACGACCAATTTTAACAGCAAACAAACATACAAAAATGAAAAGAACTGCCAATTGTGATTAATGTTATTATTCAATAGTTTTGACGCCTCAGCGTGTGCGTCCGTGGTTAATCGAAGTTTTTAATTTGGCCATGAACGACTAAGCTTTTGTTTTGGTTTTTAATTTTAACAAAAAAATTTTGGATTGTTTCAGTTTTGCTTGATGTTTTATGGAAAAAAATTTTGATTTTATTACTTTTCATGTAGTACAGTGCATTAAAAATTTATTGAACATAAAAATGCATTAATTGATATTGAAAAAAGCATCTACGGTATACTGAGAGTTTTATAATTATGTACGAAAATATATGTTAATATTATTTCAACTACATCGAGTTATTAAATAGAATAAAAGATATATTCCATTTGTATATATTACTATTTTATTATTATTAGTAAGTTACTAAATCATATTGCTTTTATTTCGATTAAGATGTGTACGACATTTATTAGTTGACAGTATTCATTGTATTACATAAAAATATTTAATTACTAGTAGTGTATATTAAAGAAAAATAATTATTTTTTTATATATTATAAGCTCTACATTTATAAAATACATATTTGAAAATGATTTATCGTTTTTAAGTGTTTAAGGAAAATCTTTTATTATAAGCAAAATCTAAAGCAACTGTATATAGATAAGCTTTCTGAAACTGTTATTTACTCAATTAAGGTTTCAGAGTGAGGAAATTATAATATTACATTTGTAAGACTATCAGAACAATATTAACTCTGCTACTAATAAATTTGAGCACTTCAGAACCTGAACTTAATAGAATCTTAACTCAAATAAATGGCATAAGATTAAAAAATGATTCAAAAGGAGACAAAAATAGTGCTGTATTGCTTTTCCAAAAACTATAAGTAATCTTGATTATATAGTTATACATAAAAGTAGAATAATTCTTTAAAAAACAATCTACTTGAAATGCTCAATTACAAAAAAAATATTTGTTAAAATTTTAAAAGGAAACTTTGGTGTATACCCTCGTATTCTTTAAATAATCAATGACAAAATATATAAAATAAAATTTAATTGACTGTGCAATTATTCGTTTCAATGTGGCAAATGCACTTGTTGCTTTGAACTTAATCCATATTGGATTTCTCTGTCTCAAGCAACAATATTCAAGGTTGCCTCTGTCATTCATTCCAGTTGTTTGGTCTCAACCAAGAATCAAGTACCAAGAATTGAAAACAAATGTAGAAGCACCAACAGACGCCATAACAAGAGCAACTGCAGCAGAGATCGTAACACCAATAAACCATAACAAATAAAATGAATTAAAAGTATTTTTACTTGTAAATTTTATGGTTTACTCTTAATCTGTAGCAAAACATTCATGTCAACATGTTTCGCGGTCATGTGCGTCGTCAACGCCAGCGGCCAGCAACATTTGTTGCTAGCGTTGTGTTGGTGGATACACAATGTAAAATAATGTAAAATTGAATTTAGTTTCATTATGTTTTGATTTTGAGTGTTTTAATTTGTTAAACTAAGCATGATTAATTTCAAAATATGTATGTATTAGACCATATATATAAGTATGTAATAATATATATTTCTGATTGTAAATTGAATACTTTAAATATTTATAAAATCTTAAAAAAAATGGCCAACTTTTTGCATCAATGTCAGTTGTGTTAGGCCAACGCGTTTGCATGCGCCTCATGTCACAAATTTTAAATTTATTAACGATTTCAGTTTCATTTCAAAATAGTAGTGAATTAATCATTTCATAAATAAATAAGAATTTTTATCAAAGAAGGTCGTCGATTGAAAATTAATAAAATTGTAGATAAAATTGCTAAAGGCCGGTTTTGAAAAATCAAGTCCATTCAAGTTGATGTTGCAGAATTTAAATTATATTTAAAAATAAAAATACAAATAAATCTTAAATTTTAGTATTGAGTATAAAATCTTTTGAGTTTATAAAACAATATATGAAATAATATAAAATTAACTGAAATATTTCCAACACTTTTAAGTGATACGAGTATAACGACTCTCAGTTTTTCTAAACCCAAATTTAATAACAATTTAATGATGCTTTATTCTTCCATAAGCCCTATTGGGTCTGATAATGGAAACCGTGACCAGAGGTAGAAATCATCAGATGTTAACGTTCACTGCAAAATAAAATACATAATACACATACATAGGATTATGTGCGTGTATAACAGAGATAGACGATTACAATGTCTGTAATTTAGACAAGCTAACAAACCATTAGCGCATTAACAGACAATGACAAAGACGTTGCGCGTCGACCGGTGCCAATACTGAAACGCTGCTGATAAGCGTGGGAGGTAGGAAGGTGGTAAAATTGTTTGTTCAAAATTGTTACGCATATGCCATGTTAAATAGACAAATGAGCGATTAACTCAATTTGATATGCTTTAGCCTGTGCTGATTTACGTCGACTTGGCTTGACTTCGGCGAAGTAACAATCGCTTGATGTGCTTGTTGGTAATGACAGTCAAAACAGAAACAGAAACAGAAAGTATGTAAATATTATTTAATTTTTTGAAACTTTTTTCACTTTTTCACTATTTTTAATGAATTTTTTATTGCTTATTTAAGAGTGACAAAAGTACTTTTTAAATGACACATGCTCTATTGCTCACATGAGCTGCACAAATGGCTTGAAGATGAATGCCAAGGTTTTTTCCATTTAACGCATATGTTAATACCTTTAATTGACTATGAGTAAATTATAGCTTATTGAAATTTGATTTAAATGAAGTTTTTGGTGAATGTACTTCGTACACCCAAGTAATTACTTTTATGTAAATCATTTTTCAGCACATCAGCCATAAAAGCGCACTTTTCTACATTAGCCTTAAGCTTATTTTCAATTAAAAACCTGTAGTCTTTAGTAGGCTGACTCTCTAATATATAAAATAAATGAAGTTGCTAATGTTGTGAAAGTCAATTGATTTTATTTCTTTGTAATGTGTTTTCGTTGCTTTTTTGATTAAAACTGCAATATTTTAAATTCGACTTAGTTACTTAACTTTTTTTTATAAGATCGTTATCAAATTAACCTCAAACCAAGTTCGTTGCTTAAGTCTTTCTTTTGTTTTCATAACAAACAAATACGGAAACTTATTTCCCTTTCTTGTGTATACTTATTTGTTTTTGTATTTAGTTATTAGTTGCAAAGTGTTTATTTACTTTCATTTTTGTTTACTTTATTGTTTGTTGAAAAAATAATTTTTTATTTTTGTTTATTTTGTGATGTTTTATAACCGCAAAATTTTTTTAAGTTTTTAGGAGAGTAATACCTCAAATGGTATCCACCCACGCATGAAAAGTAACAGTTAATTTTTTATATGTATCTGAAATTTATTAGCCGGGCGTAAATAATGAAACAGTTTAGGTAATTTGTACAAAATTGGCATATGTGCTTTATAAAAAATAATATATAAAAAAAATTTTTTTTATATTTTATTTTAACTTATCGCATAAGTATAATGAGTAAGATAAGTTTAATCTGATAAGAGAGCGCTAAGTAGATGAAATTGTAATAAGTATGCATTTCAAATTGTATCAGTTTATTCCATATAATAATAAGTGCCAAAAATTAGTTAAGTTAGTTAGTTAACTTAAACAAAGAGTTGAACCGTTCGCTAACTATTAAGAAAACTATGGAGATAATCAGTAGATGTGAGAAAAAACAAATTACTTTACAATAGTCATTTAAATATTCAAAACAATCACATAATTGAATTTATAATCCTATTAACATAATTGCAACCAAAGCACATTTAAATTG